TATCTATCTATCTATCTATCTATCTATCTATCTATCTATCTATCTATCTATCTATCTATCTATCTATCTATCTATCATCTATCTATCTATCGCCTAAATGTATTTTATTTAATGAGCAAATAGTCTTGAAAATATTACACAATAAGTACACCATTATTTAGTATGTTTTGGTGTTTTTAAACACGTAAATCTAAAACGTGAACAGAAAAATACCCACCGCTCCTGTAGTTAGCATCCTCTGAAGCTCTCCGTTGTCTCCAAATGTTGCTTAAAACTTGATTAATCTGCTATATTTAAAAAACGTATTTAATAAATACAAATCCAAAACCCAAAGTGGGTTTCCAAACTACCTGCTACTCATCAAATAACAAGATTTTGTGTTTTTGTTCGTCGTCAATAAGCTATCAGGACGCTATTTCAAGATATCGCGAGAATGAGCATCAAAACTCCATTTCCGCTGAAAAACGATGAAGTATCGCGAGGTGTGGACCGAGCCGGTCTGTTTTAACGGGGGTAAATATCGCGAGATTAGCACAGAACGCACTCTCCTCTTTCCGCTGTGAAGCGTTCCCGCCATCATCGCACGTCGCTGCGAGGCGTCAACAACAAACACAGCGGAGAGCTGGGCGACGAATGCCGGCAGAGCTGAGTTTCTGCCCCCCCGGAGAAACACCAGGAGAAGTCGTACCGCATGCTACACGCTTGAAGGTGAGCCCAGCACCGCAGCAGGCGACAGACCACCTGAGCTGCGGCTCTGTTTTCATCACTTTACAATCAGGCGAATTAGCCACTCGGCTAGCTCCCGTTAGCCTGTTAGCAGGTGCGCTAATGTCGGCCTCCTCCTCCTTCCATTCAGCGCCCTSATGAAAAAAAGACGAGTTTACCGCCCTCATTGCTAGCTTTGTGTTTCTTTTGTGTTTTTCCTCTAATTTCTGTGTTTGGAGACACGTTTATGATCGTTTGTCCTCGGAAAATAACTCAATTAGACCAAACCGAGCAGGGTAACATCGTGTTATGCTGTTGACCCGTTATACACCTCTGTTTACGGTGGTAATTTTGTGTTTACGGTGGTAATTTTGTGTTAAGCTGTTTCCCACTGCTCTGCTCATTGTGCTGATTTGTTTTAGTGAAGCTGCAGATTTGTTGAGACTTTTAGTAAGAATTGGTAAAACTGATCAGCTTGTTGGGCTGTAAATCAGCTGTTTAATTTGAGATTATCCACAGCTACAGATTTAAAGTGAACCTGGATTACATTATTTTTAGTGATGAGCTGCAGCTTAAATGACAGACAACGTGGCTTTTTGGAAGGAAAAATGTAAACAAATGAAGGGGATCACAACTTAAACTTAGCATCATTTCACTGTATTATTATAGCCCAATAACATGGCTCATAGGGGTGTAAGAAAATATCGATACACTGAAATATCGCGATATTTCATTTCCCGATACTGTATTGATATTCTAAAGCCCTGTATCGATTTTTAATTAAGGTCTAAAATGTCAACTTCCCTGCCAGCCGTTCATTTTTATGTTGTAGTTCAGCCTCTGACCACTAGTTGGCAGCAGTGAGCTAGTCATTTGGCTCCTCTACCTCTTGAGCACCAGAGAGTAAGGGTAGCATTAGCATTGTGAGTAAACATTAGCTTCATGCTCCGATAGCTGAATCTGAGCAGAAAAGACCGACACACTCTGCCTTCTAAACAGGGCACACGGGGAGCGACAAACTACAGCAATTAACGGCTGTCATCGCAGCCAGGGTGAAACCCGACACACGGGACGCGATAGCAGCGTGACGATTTGCGCTCTCAGGTCACTTGTCTTCACAAAATTTGATTGGTTCTTGACTCTGAAGGCGGGTGTGCATTACGGACGTGTAAACTAAAATCTTGCTATGCTAATGATACTGAAAAACAAACACACATCAAGATACAGTTTTATGAGGAAAAACTTACCATAAACTTCATCCTGGTGCCAATAAATTCCCACAAAGCTTTTTAGTAATAACTTGGTGAAAGTGTTAGCTAACGGCAGTGTGTAGCATACTCTCCTCATTGGTCAGTCAATGAAACACTCGCTGATTGGTTGTACGCTAAGCGACAGCGACAAAAGTTGAACATTTTTCAACTTTCATATGTCGCGTCGCAAGCTTGCGTGTGTACGTGTACGAGCGCGAAATTTTACATGCACTATTTTCGCCGGTCGTTTAGTTGGAGGAGGGCGAGCGACGTCGCCTCCCGTGTGTCGAGCCCTTAAGCTGAGGTACGGTTACAAACAGTTACTTATTTGTCAGAATGTCTCTATTTTAAACCAAATTAAGGGTCTCGTGTGCTCTTTTTTTCCAACTTTAGTCAACCTTCACGTTACAGAAGGCTAGCGCATGTCTATGTAAAACAGTTTTCTGAGACAATAAATTTTGGTTTTTCCTTTTTTCCCAGTAAGAGGTTTTTATTTAATAGAATTTTTGGACCAAAAAAAAATCGCAATATATCGCCTTGCTTATAGTATCGCAATATACCGGGATATATCGTATCGTGACCCCTCTGTCATGATATGTATCTTATCGCCAAATTATTGCCAATACACAGCCCTAATGGCTCATTGTTAGTATTTGCTGTACTGACAAATACTTTCATGTCTCTTTTCCAGGATTTGATTGCCAAATCCAAGTTCACGGCGTGTACCGTCAGGACCTTAAGCCATGGCAACCTTAGTGCCCAAAATCTCCAGTGGTGGCGTTGTCAATATTCGCATAAACAACCTTGACCTGGGGGCTACCAGATGGAAACAAGGGAGTTTTGAGATTTTAGAGAAGGACAACAAAGTTAACCTGTGTCTGAGATTCAGCAGTGGTGGAGCTCCCAAAACGTTTCAGGTGCGTACTGTTTGTCAACTTTACATTACAGGTCTTTAAACATATTGTAGGAATTARCGTATCGTGTGCAATTAATCGTCAGAAAAACATAAATCGATTACTTTTTGGCACTTGACAATTAATGCCAGCAGGCAGACTGACTGGGGATTACTCCGGTCAGTCCGCTCGGTGCTCCTCTCCGCTTCAAATATGACGAACATTAAAATAAAGTTCTGTAATTTATCAACACAATTTAAAATATGATGTATAGCCTGAAATCTGTAATTTTCACACAGTTTGGAACAATTTTTTACAAAAAGCAAATCTTTCCCACTTAATTGGTCATGTTACTACGAAATAAGGGTGTCCAGGGACTCAGGGCATTAATCGTTAAATTAATCGTTATCGGCTAAATACCACAATTAATCGTGATTAATTTTTTTGCCAATATTGCCCAACCCTAGTAGGAATATATTTGTTGCATCTGTACAAACAATCACYAGTACAGAATCTCAGAATTAAAGGAAACAATATGTTTTACTCTAAACTMCAATGTAGAGGAAGTTGCTGTGTAAACTAATTAAAGTTTATCGTTATAAACGTACATTTTTTTATAATAAACTTCAATCTAAACTACGTGTTTCCAGTAAGAAATTGATTTGATTTATTTATTTAACAAGAAAATATTACTAAAAATCAAGCCTGACTCAGCATAATTGCTGTTTTACAGCAGGTTCCTGTTCTGCAGCACATAAAACACTCAGAATTACAGCATCACAATCACATCATTATACACCATAGACACAAAGACAAACAAGCATACCAAATTTCAGGAAGGCAGCATTTGCAAAATAGGACGTCTAAATATGAGCAGAACAAAAAGTGTCCAGCAGATGGCAGACGAGTCTTCTTAAAGGGCTGTAGTTTTGAAATGGACTTTATGTTTTGAGGAATGTCATTCCATGCTTTAGTATAAACATAGAAGAAAGACCTCTGGCCGTAACAGTTTTTAAAAGTTGGTAAATATTTTAAAGGGTTGTATTTGACTCACTGAATGATGATGTTGCTGCTTCTAGTTTCTTTTATTTTATTTACGGTGAATTACTTTTCCTCTGAAGTTCCTCTGCTTCAGCACACAAATAGACTTTTCACTGAGCTACAGTTAGAGTTGGACTTTTAAAGGACAGATAGGATGTAGTAATTAGACAGGTAAAAATACCTTAAAAGTTGAAAACCTACCCTTGTTGTTGGCGCTCAGTCTTCCAACATGACCAGCCGCTCTCTGCCAGGGAGGAGCAGAAATGCACGTGGTGAGCTCGAAGTATGGCTGCTGAATGTGCTAACGGGTCATGCGAGGAAAGAGAAACATAAATATTGGTTGATGTATCAGTCGACCACTAGATACAGTTGWGTTTTAAATGTTCCACCTGTACAGGTGCAGCTGTATATGTGTGTTTTTTCATAACAAAATATCTGATTCCACTTCTCCTTAATGGGTTTTCATGAGGAAGAGTTTGTTGAATTAATGAACAATTGCTCTTTTTTTTTTTAGTTTGTTCTGGTCACGCATTTCCTCATGTGTTCGCAGTCATATACTGAGAAAACATAGAGAAGTTAGTAGCTTATTTAAAGTAGCGTGGAAGTTTTTCATCCCAATGTGACAGAATTCATGAATAATTCTCAGTCAAATCAAAAATCCAGAAATCCTGCGGTGCGTAGTTTTCAACATGCAGTTGTACTTTGTGTGTCTGACAGGAAGATTAACACAGGGTTTTACTGAATGGGTGCCATGGGTAGGAATAAATAAGCTTATCCCTGGCAGCAGCTATAGTCGTTAATTTGAACGTCTTGGTTTTGTTCTCAGCTGAACCAGAATGTGAAAACCTTCACCCAAAAGTCCAGCTTCATTCGGCTGGTCCTGAAYGACAACAGCATCATCACCCTGGATAAAATGCCCCTGGCTGTGGCTGAGAGGACGAAGGAGTGCCTGGAGAAACTCAAGCAGGGAAAGTTTGGTAATCACTTTTTTTATTGATTTTATTTTAAACCCTAACGTACCTTTTTTAACCTTTTAAGCCCCAAAAGGTTTTTTTGGATGTTTTTGCTCAAAATACCATGCTGAAATGTAATTGTGTGTCTCAGCTTTTACAAATAATCTTGCTATCACAATAAAGCTAACACTTTGGTAGACTGCATTAGAAGTGTAAAACAGCTGCTCTTGTTTTAGAGATATTTAGGATGGAACATAATTTGTTTTACATCTTTTTCCCCTCCCGTCTGAGTAATTTTTGCATTAGACAGTATAAAACCCATTTAAAACRATAATAAATCAGGCTAAAAACTCTTAGAAACCATAAATCCACCTGTGGACATCACCTGTGCAAAGATTCATGCTGATAAAATGAACTGGAGCAAAGTTACACAGGTTTTAATAAAGAAATAATTTTATATTTTGTCATTCTGCACAGGACAGACCATGATGTTACCATTTAATAAATGTTAAGAAATCAAGTTTTTAATTGCAAAAGTTATTTATTTTTTCTTACCTGACTTAAAAGACTTGTTATTGAATGTTTGTTCTTTTGAAAAATTATCCAACATTTATTTGTCACCATATATAGGCCAGGTCATGTTTTGTAAACGAGAAGTGGTTCTCAAACTGTTTACCTGGATAAATAAAGGTTAAACAAATAAATAAATACATTATATAAAATAACGAAAATTATATTTGACTTCAGTTGGATTATATTCACTCAAAATCAAGTAAAAAAAACTTTCAACACACTTTACAAGATATTTTGGTATCTGCTTTGACCTGCTTTAAAAACAAATGTCAAAATATTTTTCCTTTACAGATTTGCAACAATCCCATTTTGTACAGTTTGTTTACTTTCTGATTCAACTGTCATGAATGTAAAAATAGCCAACATTCGTAGATTTCTGTTGGTCCCAAACATGTCCAGGTTCAACTTACAGATCTGAAGTTAACAGAAGTTAAAAGAAATAGAAAACGAGACGATGGGGCTCAACAGGTTAAAGGACTGTACCATTATTTTTTGAAAGTTAATAGAAGGGAAGTGAAATAAGTTACCTGTTGGTTTTTCCTGGCGTTCTCTTGTAGAAGACTGTGTGCTGCTTTGGCCGACAACAGAGACGATGTATCGCTGTAACAAACTGACTCCTGTTTAATGTTGCAGTTTTGAAGTCCTCCCACGGAAGTGCAAACTTTGGAGTTCTTGCAAACCGCTCCATGAAAAACGAGAAGAGCCCATCGGGCGATAAACAGGTGAGCGCCGCGCCGACTTGTACAGAAAACATGAAAGTTTGTAACGTTTCACTGGAGCTCTCGGCGCGTTTCCAGACGACCTTGAGGCGTCACAGTGCAGAGGGTCGGGAGGACACGACCCCACGTAAACCTCTGAGCAGCCCCAGCAGAGCGGCCTCCACCCCCACCCGCAGCGGGCTGTCTGAGAACAGGTGAGATCTGACCCAGTAATCCACCCGAACATGTGAATAATCTGTAGTTTTTGTTTCTCAATCTGACGTTTGTTTCAGGGCTGAGAAGAGGAAGAGGCTGCTCAACTCTGAAAGTGACTTAACCGAGGATTACCCCAAAGAAAACGATTCATCCAGGTGAAAACTGTGTTTGCACAAATTTGCAAAGTGTTTTTTAAACACACAATAGCTGTTTTTTGTTTTTTATTTTGCTGTCTATCACTCAGAAATATGTGACCCATCATATCAAAATGACATTTAAGTCAAATTTGGTCAAAATGACCTAATTACATTTTCAGATTCCTGCTTTAAAAGCTACATTTTGATACCTGGATCATTCTGATTTCATAATTAAATCCATATAT